TACTATATTCTCTCTTTCTCAAAGGAGTTTCTAAATGGTTTTAGTTTTTTCGGTTTGTGCTTCTTTCCTTTCTTTTGATAGTGATACCTGGACAATTACTGAAAAGGGGACATCACAAATTGATGAAATCCAACAAGAGAAGGAAGAGACTTTGGTTGAAGAGTTTACCATTTATTTTTGTTCTTTTAATTGGTAGTAAGGTGGTGGTTTTTTTAATAATCTATTTATTTCAACAAAATCCCCCCTTTTTCTTAAGTAAACAATAACCTCTCTCTCAGATCCATTTCATCCTTACAAAGAATGGGCAAGAAGTATAAGTTTTATTTTTAGAGTAATTGCAGGCTGCCATAAGAAAAAAATGGTCTAAACGTTCCTGGCTGGGAAACATTGTATTTTTCTGCTAGGTTATAAAATTAGCTGTGTGAGCATAGTATGCCAAAAGATTATTCTATTTGATTCTGTTGCCCCGATAGGAAGCAAAATTTTATGTGTTTGTTTTCACTCTCTTGCCACAAGGAAATCCCCAGGGCTTTGCTTTCCTATTGCCAAGAGGAAGAACCAGAATACCTGTTCCATTTGCCATTTGGAAAGTCCTTTGTTATGTTCTATTCCATAAAGGAAGAAATAATAATGCTTCCCTGGACTTTGCTAAAATAAAAAAAAAACAAACTGCTAAGATAAAATAATCTCCTACTTTAACAGATTGTTTAAGGTAGTAATTTAACAGGGTGTCTGAGACAGGGCCCTCTAAGCTTTTCCTCTTTGAACAGATCAGTTGCAAAGCAATGGAAGGAAGGCTGTGGTTGTTTTAGTCCCAAATTCAAAGAAGAATTTTCAAACTGCAAAACCTCAAAGAGGTAGAAGGAAAACATAAGAACAAATTAAATCCATCATACTGCCTTGATTTTAATTTTTAAATGTACTAGATACCAAGTTAGTGGTGTCTGTTCAACAGCCTGGTAAATGACCATGTCTCAAGAGTTCCCTCATTTACCCCTGTGCCAAAGGCTGAAGACAGATAGGTTTGCAGATAGCAAGAGGAGAAACAACTGGAGAAAAAATTAACAGTAGAGGAGAAATGACACTGAATGATATCCATGGGGTTGTGGGTCAGGAATGAAGGACCAGGGTCAGAGCCGATATACCCTACATAGTGCAGGCTGGAGGACAGAATCTGTGATGTTTTCTGATGAAAATGTAGCTAGAGAGCACTCACAAGGCCAAACAGCTGCTCAAGAAACGGGGAACAAACCATGCACTGTTAATCATATACCCATGTAAGAAAAAAGCTCCCTAATTTTTAAAAGAATCAACATGGATCTAATGATCACCTCCTAAAGGCCGGCGTCTTCAGTTCAAGACTTTATGCTGCAATAATAATGTTTAAAAAAATCCCGCAGGATAGCAATGACAACCATTCCAATTTGCAGCCTTCTTATTAAGGCTTTAATTCAAATAAATTAAGAAATACAAGAAATATAAGACTGTGACTGCTCTGATTTTGTTTAATACATTGTCATTTTGAGGCACATGACTCAAGTGCCCATTGTCATGTAAATATTTTTCTGGTAACAGGAGTCACATAATGTAGAACATAAAGAGAATCAGCCACAAATAATGCAGGAAAGAACATTCTGCTTTTTTTGTTTCGAGGTATTTGTTGACTGGACTAAAATTTTTGAGCTCATACTGTTGTACCTGTACTGGCTATGAAAAAACAAGTCTGTGATAACAACTTTTCAATCAATAGAAAGGGAGAATATTAGAACAAGAAAATGAAGAGCTGGAATGCCAGTTCTCACCATGGAAAGCAACAGTTCAGTTCTGAGTGGTCTGTCAATGGATTCGCCTTTTCGTTTTGTGTGGAGTAGCAACTCAGTCCTCAGTGTCTGGGAGCTGAAAACGCAGTTTGGAAAAGCAAGTAATACAATTTCCATGCACCTGTTTACTAAATAAAAAACACTTTAAAATATATATGTTTTCAACATCAAGAAAATGATTTTTTTAATAATTGGGGTTGGGGAATTAATGGATTCTGAACTACAACAGAAAAATGTCACAGTCATCTTTTCAAATTCTACAGCATGGTTGTCATGATTATATATGGAAACAAATGTTTGTATTAATTGCATGGTTAATCTTGCTGAAGTCCTTGGTTAATACATTACAGAAACAAGTCAGCCTGCACACACAAAAGATTAAAACTGTTACTTTCAGTGTCATCATATGGCTTCTTTTCAATCACCTGTGCATTCATTAGTTCTTACTGCAACATGAGAGACATTTTCATGCAAGCTGGTCAGTTTGAAATGCATTAAAAACAAAGAATTGAGGATTATATCTTGTTACATACACAGCATAGCTTAATGCAAGGTAGAATTTTTTAGGTAAGTCAGATGATGTTAAAATAAGAAGCTATTCTTTTTCAGGGAAAAGTTCCATTTGTCTTCAGCTGGAAATTCCCATGTAGAACAAGACAGAATTCAGATCTTGAGGTTCAGCTTTCCTTGTATATGTCTGAACCACATATTTCTCATTTTAAGCAACACTGAAATTGGAGCACAACTCCCATCTACACAGAGTATACTGGGTACACAGGAAACATGGGGAGTGACCACTAACCAAACCTGGGAAGCTGTTCTAGGCTGCAGGGACACCCAACACCCTCTTAGAATTAATTTTTCATGAGAAAGGCGGTGAAAAGCAGGAATAAGTTGCCCAGAGAGGTGGTGGGTGTCCCATCATTGGAAACATTCAGTCAGGGTGAACAGAGATCTGAAAAAACAGATCTAGTGGAAGATGTTCATGCTCATTGCAAGGGTGTTTGACTCTGTGACCTGTAAGGGTCCCTTCCAACACTGCCATTCTGTGGCACATAATGGGGCAATTCCACAGCCCTGCACGCTTCTGCCAGGAGAGAAGGAAAGGTGGCTGGTGAGGGGTTCCTGCTGAAGAATGGCTTGGGCCAGGACAGCCAAGGCGGTGCAGGGCCTGGGAAGTACATTTTGTCCTCCAGGCCATGAGCTCATTTGGGAACAGGCCAGTTGCTTACAGCTGCACCCCGGGTCCAGCTCTGCCTGTGCTGGGGGTGTTGTGCAGGCCAGAAGGGCTGGGGCTGGAGCACAGTGACAGTGGCCAAAGCTGAGGGCACCACAGGGCCATCCTCAGCCCTCTTTGCTGTCACAGATCACAGAAACACAGAATTGTTAAGGTTAGAAGGGAGATCACCTAACCAACACCTGTCAAGGAAGGGTAACCTGGAGCAGGTTACACAGGAAAGCATCCAGGTGGGTTTTGAATGTCTTCAGAGTCAGACTCCACAACCTCCCTGGGCAACCAGTTCCAGTGCTCTGCAACCCTCAGTGTGAAATAGTTTTTCTTCATGTTGAGGTGGAAATTTTTGAGTTTTGATTCATGGCAATTGCCCTTGTCCTGTTGCTGGGCACCACTGAAAAGAACCTGGTACCCCACTCTTGACACCTATCTTTGAAATATTCATATGCATTGATGAGACTGTCAGTCTTCTCTTCTCCAGGCTAAAATGGGCCTAGCTACCAGAGTCTCTACTCATAAGAGAGATGCTCCAGATCCCTAATCATCTTTGTTGTGTCCCCTGGACCCTCTCCAGTAGTTTTTCTTGCACTGATGAGCCCAGAATGGACTCAGCACTCCAGATGTGGCCTCACCAAGGCCGAACAGAGGGGAAAGATCACCTACTGGCCACACTTCCCGATGCACCCCAAGATACCACAGGCCCTCCTGACCGCGAGGCCACACTTGCCGGCTCCTGATTAACTCGTCCCTCACCAAGGTTCCCACACCGAGCGGAGCCGCGGCGGCGGGGGTGGCGGGGCGGCCGCAGGGGGCGGGTCTCAGCGGCAGGAGAGGCGCCGCCTCCCCGCNTCCAGCCCCGCGCCTCAGCCCGCGCCCCGTAAGTGCCCGCCCGAGCGGGGGGTCACCGATGCAGCGGTTCGGTTTTCTCCTCCCGTAGTTATTTTTCCAGGAGCAGTTTCTCACATGTGTCCCCATCTGTCTGACATAGCTCTGTGATGTTCTCTTAGCTCATTTAAGCATATGTCAAATCTGTGTCACTTCTATTAATTTTTATAACCCTGAAATCAGTTAGTTCGTAAAAGAAGGTTAGTTTTGTTGAAATCTGTTCCTGAGCAACCCACCTCAGCTGCTTTTTATCATCTGCTTCCCATTTATTTACTGATTGATTGCACAATAACGATGAAAAATCTGTCCAGGTGCTGAAGTTAGGCTAACAAGTCTGTTTTCCTTAGTCGTCATCCCTTCTTTTAGCAATATGTACTAGTCTGCCTGTCATGTCATCTGCTAAGTTCTGAAGATGCCACTTTGGTCAGCATTTTAAGCACCAAGGGCTGATTTCACAAGTGTCTGCTGACTTGAGAATCTTTATCTTATCTTTAATTTTATCCTTTACTCTTAACTTACCTTTTCCACTTTGACCTCTCCGTCTCTCTCTCCTGATAGAAGGAATTTCTGTAAACACCAATTCACAGTTAACTTTTCTGCTAAGGGCTGAAATAAAGAAGACACGTAATAATTCGTCCTACTTTGTATAATTCGTTCCTTTTCCTCTGAAGTTAAAAACTTTGCCTTCTGTCTTTTGTCTTTTTATTGTGTTCATGGAACTTCTACTTGTTGCCATTTATGTTCTTCACTAGTTACAAACTCACTTCTCTACCATCCTTGTTCTGATTTTACCCCTACATGATAGCACTGTCTCTTTGTCTTTTTATAATGCTCCTTAGCCATGCACACAATTTCTTTATTTTTTTAAAATCTTGTGTGATTTTTTCACTTTAGGAAAGCTCTCCTATTGCAGTTAAAAGAGTCTTATACGCTCTTGCCTCTGAATTGCAGTTGTGCATTTAATATAGTCTGTTTCAGTAAATGCTGGCTCTCTGATCTTGTACCTCTCTGAGATTACTTGTCTGAAAGTCATGTCAGCCTGTTCCCAGAGGGTTTTTGTGAAGTCTGTTAGTTTGATTCTGTTACTCGCATCGTATTTTCCTTAGAACAGGCAGTGAGAAACATTGGCCAGCAGGCCAAATTCAGCTCACCAGAGCAATTAATCATGTCCAAGTCCTGTGTCCCCACTCTCCCCAGGATCCTTTGGACTAAAACTGAAAGTAGGCTGCAGCATGGTTAAATGGTATTGGAAAGCCCATTTCTTTATGGTGGTTCCTTTTCAACCTCAAAGTTCTGCAGAATATTCTGGTTATGTGGTATGAACTGCAGTATCACATAGCGAAAGCATACATGTTCTGTCATATCCAGTTACATCTCTTATCTCATTATATATTCTCATTATGTTCCTGGGTGCAAACCCATCCTGATACAGGAAATACTGGTAATTTGGTCATGTGTTAAATATGCTTTAGGTCACATGGTAAGGAAAAACTCAATGCTTTTTTGAGTGCATGCATAAAAATCTTTGTGTTCTGCCTCTGCCAGAAGGATTCACTGGAGTCTTCAACTTCTCAGTCTAGTTTCAATGAGTTTATACCTTTTACTCAAAGCTGAAATGAAAAGTGCCCATTCTTCTAGTAGCTTCCTCTAATTTCTGAAACACAAAGCTGCTTTTAATTGTAGGAGGTTGTTCACCACACATGCTGTATTAGTAGCCAATGGCTGCTTAATATTCCTCACTGATTATTAATTACCATCATATCAGCTCTTAGATGGTGGCTCAGGAAGAGGTTCTGTGTGGGCTGTTGTTGATTGTTCTCAAGACGGCAACCTTCTTTTTGCTTCTTCTTAGCCTGCCTCTTGTCATTGATTCCTTAATTTTCAGAATTTATTCCTGTTCTACAATTATATTGGCTTAGCCTGCAAGACTTTGGTAATAGGATGGGGAGGAGTGCTGTAGGGGTAGTTTCTGTGAGAAGCTGCAGGACTCTTACCCTGTGTCTAATGGGGTCAGTGTCAGCTGGACCATGGCTGGCCAGGGCCCAGCTCATCAGCAGTGGTGGCAGCACCTCTTGGGTAACATAGGTAAGAAGGGGGAAAAAAAGTAATTGTAGCTGCAGAAGAGAGGGTGAGACCATGTGAGAGAAACAACTTACATAGACATCAACAACATGGACACTAAAGCCATTGAAGAGGAAGGAGGAGGAGGCGCCCTAAGCGCTGGATTAGACATTCCCCTGCAATCTGTAGTGCAGCCCATGAGGTTCATGGTATAGCTGAGATCCAGCTGTAGCCTATGGGAAAGACTCACACTGAAGTATGTAGGGGACTCTCCTGTGGGAGGAAACTCATGCTGGTTCGGGAGAAAGACTTCTCTCCCTGAGGAAGAAGCAGCAGCAGAAAAAGCATGCGATGAACTGACCGTAACATCTGTTCCCTGTCTCCCTGTGCTGTAGAGGGGGAGGAAGCAGAGAACTGGGAATAAAGTTAAGCCCAGGAAGAAGTTTACTGGGGTGAGGGGAGGGTATTTCTTTAGGATTTATTTTAGTTCTCATTATCCTGCTCTGATTTTGATTGGTAATAGTCAGTTAATTTCCCCAAGTATGGTTTGCCTCTGGTGGTAATTGGTGAGTGATCTCTCCCTGCCCTTAACTCATGAGCCTTTTGTGATATTTTCTCTCCTCAGCCCAGCTGAGGAGAGGAGTGATAGAACAGCACCTTTTTGGACACCTGGCCTTCAACCAGGGTAAACCCCCCACAATGATGCAGAACCACCTAGGCCATAACGCTGGTTTGTGTGAAGACATCCCTCCTGAGGGTTGTTTTGTTGGTTTTTAATGTCTTTGTTAGAGCTTTAATGCAGTTCTTTGACCAAGGATATAGCAGTATTTATTTTTTTTTTCAGCTTCTGTTCTTATTGAAAACATCCCTTACTACACTGAATTTGAGTCCTAAAATTATCTTCCTTTTGTTATTGCGTGAAAGCTGTCTCTTCCTGCCATTAGCTTTTTATGGAAGGCTGTCCCATGTGTTTGTCTCCAGGATTTGTCTTACTTGCCTGGATAGAAAATTGTGTTAAGCATATTTGTGACTCATGGCCTTGAATCCTTTACCCTTGCATCCACAGTTAATCCTTGCCAGACCAAGCAGCCTGACCTAGAAATGTCATTAGTGATCTCATGACTAGGTCTTGATAAATTTCTTTGGTTTTGCCATTGGATCCACATGGGCAGCCCATTTTCCAGGCTGACAGGTGAGTATGTCAGATGGATGTTTGTCATCGTGTTATGACATTTGCAGCTTTGAGACTTTTCCATCTTCTCCTTCATGGCCAGGAGAGGCTATCGCAGTAATAACCTGCATAAACTTCTAATGGAATTCAGCTTCCATGTACTCACTGATCTCATGCTGATCACAGGCCAGTGCTCTCTACAGTCTACTGTTTTCCAATTTTCTTTGCATGTTTCTACTCATTATTCTATAGACCATTAGTTTCAGGAGTACAAAGTTAACTTGTGGTCCCGTAATCCAGGGCAGTGGAAGGTAAGAAATAGGAGAAGATGAAAAATATGTTGTTTACTTAAGTAACTATTATTGTAGTGCTTAAAGTACTTTATGTTTCTTGTTTCTCCTTCTATTGGTGACATACTGCAAGACGAAATTGATTAGCCCTTACTTAAGGAGAAAATACAATATGAAACTTAGAGCCAAAGATTTTGCTTCCAGAGGTGTTAATAGATTTTGGGGTCTCATAAAATTATATGATGCTGATTTTTTCCTTCTGTTGTTTTTTTTCCTTTTTCTTCTCTTTCCTTTTTTTTTCCCTAAAGAAACCACTGTAGGTTTGGTGTCTTTGAAGTATGGAATCGATCTCTATGATGGGGAGTCCCAAGAACCTCAATGAAACTTTTCTACCAAATGTTGCCAATGGCATCAAGGATGCCAGTAAGGTCACAATAGGCATCATTGGAAGTGGAGACTTCGCTAAGTCATTGACAATCAGACTTATCAGATGTGGGTACCACGTGGTCGTAGGGAGCAGAAACCCTAAACACGCTGCTGACTTCTTTCCCCATGTGGTTGATGTCACTCACCATGAAGATGCAGTAGTTAAAACAAACATTATTTTTGTAGCCATACACAGAGAGCATTACATCTCTTTGTGGGATCTCAAACATTTACTTGCTGGTAAAATTCTGATTGATGTCAGCAATAATACAAGAGTAGACCAATATCCAGACTCCAATGCAGAGTATTTGGCATCACTTTTTCCTGATTCCCTAATTGTCAAAGGATTCAATGTCATTTCAGCTTGGTCACTGCAGTTAGGACCAAAGGACGCCAGCAGACAGGTAAGTGTTTTTATTTGTATTAATTTAAATTATTTGTAAAATGAATGTGACAGGAACTGAATGTAACAGCCAGAACTCATGAGATTTAAATTCCCTGACTTAGCATGCCTAAAACGTTGGACCTTTAGCTTATATTTTAGTAGCCAATAAAATCTTCAGAGTTTAGTTCATCCCACTGTAAGACAAATAAAGTAAGTGGTCCGGCTTTTTCCCCTTATTGGCTGTTTTTCTTCAAAGATTGCAGAGGAAATGTGGATAGTGGCTTAGAGTAAACACCACTTACCTTTCGGTGACTACAGACAGAGGAGAGGAGTTTAATGTTGGGTCTTAATGTTTCCCTTGGGACATAAGTTGATGTGTTTACCTATGCTTTATACAAGGGTAGAGACAGTCTTTCCCAGTGCATTTTATTGGCAGAATTGGGGTGAATTATTGAAAGAGATGCACAGAAATCTCAGGTCCCAATCACAGAGCTCATTGATCCAGCACTGCCTGTGAACATCATGTTCAAAGTCCTTCCCAGTATGTTCTGCAAGTCCATCCTGCATATAGAAAATGCACCTTCATGGTTTTCATGTTTTGCTGAAGTGATATAAAGGATTTAAGCCTGTGCAAGCATCCAATCCTCCATAGCTTTATGAAATCTGAGAAATACATAAGAAATAACTAACGTAACATGACTTCTGGAGACTAAATTGAGTTTTCTGGCACCTCAGGTGGATTTAAATGGAATGGAATTTACATGGAATTAGCATAATTTGAAAAATAACTTCACCATACTTCTTTTATCCCCTTTCAGAATAGCACTACACTAAAAGTAATTCACTTCAGTCAGAACAGATTATATGTCCTTCAATGCAGATGATCAGAAAACAGTGTTGGACAAACTATAGCCCACTGTAAATTTTAACAGAACCTTGAAGTACTTTATAGCCATACACTTCTTTCACTGTATAATAAGCTGGCCTTTAGAACAAGTTCTTATTTGGCTGGTAGTTATTGTCTTTTCTGTTGAATGCTCAAATGTGAAATCTGTGGAAATCTGGGTTGTGAAATTAAGCTGAAATTGTTACCCGTGGAGAGAGATTATTGTTCGCTGCTTCTCATTCTGTGTATGCTATAGTTCTTTAAAGGTCATCATTCAAGATTCTTGTGTTTTTGAGGGATTTGGGATTTTCTGAAATGCTTTTAGCTGTTTCTGGAGTTAATCCAGTCCTGTAGACATTTCAGTATGCCAGGTTTCAGTGTACAGATTACCAAGACAGCTCCCGTTACTAAATCCTAGAAAAAGCCAATTTTGTTTTGATTACTCTGTTGATAAATCAATGTGCATATTTGCACTTTGGCTAGATTTTTATGTGATTTTATTGTCATATTGATGATATAAGCTTGGATAAAGGATACAGTTTTAGTGGTTGTGTCATAGTTTTGATTTGTAAGCCCTTAAGGTTTTCAATGGGTTTTGCTGGTTTTTTGTTTAACTTTGAGTGTCTTTCTCTGACTACAGATAATTCCCCTGACTTTCCCAACAGGTCTATATATGCAGTAACAATGTTCAGGCTCGCCATCAAGTTACTGAGCTTGCCCGTCAGCTCGGTTTCATTCCTATTGATCTGGGGGCATTGTCATCTTCAAGGGAGATTGAAAACCTGCCTCTGCGACTGTTCACCCTGTGGAAGGGACCTGTAGTGATTGCCATTAGTCTGGCAACATTTTTCTTCATCTATTCTTTTGTCAGAGATATCATCCATCCGTACATGAGAAATCAGCAGAGTGACTTTTACAAGATTCCCATTGAGATTGTGAACAAGACTCTGCCAATTGTTGCTATCACTTTGCTTTCTCTAGTATATTTATCAGGACTTATTGCAGCTGCTTATCAGCTTTACTATGGCACGAAGTATCGGCGATTTCCTCCTTGGCTGGACAACTGGCTCCAGTGTCGAAAGCAGCTTGGACTGCTGAGTTTTTTCTTTGCAGCAGTGCACGTGGTGTACAGCCTCTGCTTGCCTATGAGGAGATCGGAGCGCTACTTGTTCCTCAACATGGCATATCAACAAGTAAGACAATCTTTAGTTCAGTGAATGCCTTGGCTGGGTACATAAAGCTCCTGAATGTGATTATTGGGTTTTTCTTAATCTGTTCTACTGCTTTTGGCACAAAATGTTACGGGTTATTTTATGCATAAGTTGTGCCAATTAAGAAATATCTGTGCATTTTGCTGACCTTGTGGGTCAATCTGCAGTCAAGTTTGTGTGATAAGGGGAATCAAGGACATGTCCAACTGAAATTCCTGATAGCAATATACGCAAGAAGAATGTAGGATAAGAGCAACAGCAGGAAAATTCTGAGCTATGTTCTTTTCTATGTATACTTAACACATGGGGGGAAGTATGTATATCTTAAGTGCATTTACAAATATTAAAAGTGTACTGTAATCTTGCTTACAGATACTTCTGTGTTCCAAAAAGAAGATGCTGATATTTTGTAACATTTTGGACCAATGCTAAAAATACGTTGTTCTCTTAAAATTCTGTGGATATCATCAGTTGCAGGCAATAGAAATTGACTCATAGTTTCCAGGAAGAATTAATCTTGCATAACCCTGTAACATTCTCCTACAAATCTATCATCCTCTAGAAGAGGGTCTGATACTGCTGTCTGTCAGTGAGACAGCTTATTGTAACCTTTGAAGAGGCAGAAAAGCAGCATTGCAGAAAAATGGCATTGTCATTCACCACATAAAATCTGTAGGAAGAGTTGTGATAAAACAGAAAGAAAAAACAAATAAAGAAATAAAATGAAATGTAACAAATTAACAGGGAGTGTCACAAACTCTGAAAGAGCTCGCATCTAAAAATGAACTTAGGAGAAAGGAAGGGCAGAACTGTAATAGGCAGCAAGAAACAATAATTCACACTTAAAATTAGTAATACAAAAAGATTCACTGGTACTTGTACTAAGAAATGATCTTCGTTTTGATGATACTGTAAAACTCTAACTTGCTAATATTTGCTAAAGGTGCACCTTTTTCAAGACATATCATATTGCAATGGTTCAGCTGGAAGTGAAAAAAAAAAATTGAATATCTAACTTTCTTAGTTGTTTGTTTTTTCTGGTAAAGCTCTCCAGTGAGAACCATATTGGAAAAATGTGATGTCAATAGTAAAAGAGAGAAACAAGCTTGGACTCAGCATAGAAAAGCTGAAGGAAATTATGCTAAACTACTTCTAAATGTAACAAACCAAAAAGAAATTGCAGGTTTATCCAACTCACGTTACAGAATTTAAGTTTGAAGAGTCTGAAGAACACAGCTCCTTTTTTACAGTGTTTAAGAATGTGCAGAATTACCTGATTTTATAACAATATTGTTGTAAATGGTATATAATGTTACATTTTTTTTTAGCATCTCATCTAAATTTCCTTGTTGAACATATTTTTAATCTAGCTAGAGCCAATACCAGCAGTAAGGAAATTGCTGATTTTTTTCCAAGGAATGAGGAAACCTCTGAAACATTTGACCCCGTTTTATAGTTGTCCTATGACTGTGAAATTTTAAGTCAGCAAAATAACTTCTGTTGGTATTTTTAATATTCTTTAAAATAAAGTTCTTCCATTCTACTCTTTCATCAGGTTCATGCAAATGTTGAAAATTCTTGGAATGAGGAAGAAGTGTGGCGAATTGAAATGTATATCTCTTTTGGAATAATGAGTCTTGGATTGCTTTCTTTGCTGGCAGTAACTTCCATCCCTTCAGTAAACAGTGCCTTAAACTGGAGGGAGTTCAGTTTTATTCAGGTATGTTACTTTTTTAATAAGGGAGTTCTGGTGTTAACAAGAATTCTTTAGTCATGATCATAAACAGAAGCTCGTTGCAATGTGACAAGAGCCTTTTTTTCCTTTGTCTCTGGGAGTTCAATAAAAACAGAAATTACTCAGCAAATATGTTACTATGAAGGTACATTAAGCATTTCATGAGTGTTAGAACAGGACTTTTTGTTTTGCACTTCTTGCTCTTAAATAACCAACATAGCTATGACCAAATAGTCACTAATATTTTCCTTTTCTTTTCTTAGAATGTCTTGCTAAATTCAAATTAGATAAATTTGGACAAACCTGCTAAATTCATTGATACTGAGTAGATACTTGTATAGGTAGATGCACACAGCTATTAAAATTGAAGACTTAATTTGCCCTGCAGGATTTTTATTACACAGCCCTCTGACAGCCATGGTTCCACTGAGTAAGTTTTTCTTCCTGTCTGCTGTGGGACCTGACACAGCTCTCAACTGCGTTATTCCCATTAGCTGAAAATACCCACTAGTAAAATATGGAGCTTTGCTTATTAAGATCAGCGGCTTTTCAAGCCCTGGCACACCATATGCTGCCTTCCATCCTCAGGTAAATACCTAGAACGTGCAAATCTAACCAGTATAAAATACTGAGAAATACAGGCTTTAATGAACAGCTCAATGCTTGATCCTACACATAATTGCCAGTAGTTTTAGGAAGCAGTCAGGTATAAGAAATTATACTAGCATTCAGGTGAAAATTCCTCTGTGTGCACAGTTTTGGGGTTTGTTATATTTTGTTTTCTGACTTTGGCTTTAGTGTTGTAGTCTTAGCTCAGTCTTTTCTGATTAACGGTTTTTTTTTCAGCTTAGCCTAATAATGCTGAATTCTGAGTCCTGTTCACTTCAGAATGTGTTCACTGACTTTAAAGTTGAGGGCTTGGGTTGCGCTTCATAATTTTCAGATATTTTAAAGAGAGTGTTGTGGAACACTTAAATGGCTGTAGTTATTTGAGGACTGTCTGTAATGTCTTCCCTTCCCTTATGCTTTCCATTACTGGAAAACTGCAGGTAGACCTACAGAAAGTTTGCTGAAAAGTTTTTAAAAGTGGAGTTACCCTGACAGAACTGTTTATTCATGGTCATGGCTTTGAGCCTTCAGAGAGACTAAATACTCAAGTGTATTGTTACAACATCTCTGCCATCTGGAGTTCTCTGTGTGGGGACAATAGTGCTGCTGTTGGGTGATATAAACCTTCAGTGCAAGAGGGAAAAATATGTGTTCAGTAGTGAATGACATGATGTCTTTATCCAGTAATAACTTCCAGCCACAAACACAGAATTTTTGTCTTATTTTTCCTTACTCATACTTCCAAATTTTAGGCTTGTGTGACTGAGTCAAAACCCACACAATAATCACTGCATATTTACTGCAGTTATTTCCACTGTAAATTAAGTAAAAATAGTTCCAAATATAAATACTTGAGAACTTTAATATCCCATCTGTCAGTATTTTGAGGAACTTGCGAATAAGTTGTTTGCTCTGGATGTATGTTACCGTTCATACTGCATTATGAGCTCCAGATAACTGATATTGGTAATGAACTATGATCATTTGCAACTCTTAGCCACAAAAGTATTGAACTACTAAAGATTTCTTTAAAGTTAATGAGCATTTAGTTTGGTATTAATTCTCAGGATGTAAGTTATTTTTCATTTAGTTACCTGTCAAAAAAGTCTTTTTGCTTTCTTCAATCAGATAACAGACTTTCAGTGATTGCTTACTAGAGTAAAGGGAGTCTGTATTTCTGTATAAGTTTCATTGTCCCCAGTATGCAAGGAGTACAGGTAAAACATTATAATACTTACTCTTTTATATTTTTCTTCTACCAAAGTGCAGTGCAATGAAGGAAAATTGAACTTAAATTTCTCATTCTTCTTTAAGTCACGAGATAAACAATGGAACTACTAACCTATCATCCCATTGCTGCTTTTCTTTTCAGCTGGGAAAAGCAGTATGTCTCTAGCTTTAGTCCTGAATCTCAGGTGATTTGCCACAATAGCTGCTGAACTTGTTTCACATCTGACAGACAAAGAATCAGGCACTTACCACACTCAGACAGTGTCCCAGTTCAGCACTTCACACTGCAAACAACACATTCTTGCTTGCCATCTTACTAAATAGTTTCATCAAAATAAGAGTCTGGCTTCTTCTAAATAGTTTTACCACTACAACATATTCAGTCTTGAGTCCTACTAGGAAAATTTGAGGTTATTAAAATGTACAGTATAGACTAGCCTTATCCCAGTAGATCAAGCCCTAATCTCCCCAACCTATAGCAATTCAAACAGTCTTTGAACACAGTCTTCCTAATATACTCTAAAGAAACACCAGTTATCAATATGTTTACACAGAAGTCATTGCTGTTGCTGGTATCCCCAATTATTTTGGAGATGACTCCATCTTGCCTAGCCTGCCTAGCCTGGTTTCAAACACAGGTGTGAGCAGCCCCAAAAGTTCCAGCCTCTTTCACCAAGGGAAAAGGACTTGGAGGGGACAAGCAGTGCAGGCAGCACTCCTTCGCTCATAGTATGCATATGAACAAAGTGAGATATGAAAAGGTTTTAATAATGCAAAAGGAAATGACTGTGTCAGTTCTAGAAGAAGCTAAGAGACCAGCAGAAAACAGGAATTGCTACAGTACAGAGCTGACCACTGTACAAAACAAAGGTCTGATTACTTCATTATTATTTGGAGAGAAACACTCATAATATTCAGATAGAGGAAACCACAGAATGAGACAGTGATGAAGAATTTTCTCAGTAGGAGATCCTAGATGATTGAAACTTAGTGAGAAAGTTTGCAGTCACCTTAACTTAATTTAGAGCTTAAGTTTACTGAGAAAAGCAGCAGGGAAGAAAGCTGTGGCTGATAAACTAATGCAGCAGTTTTCTTAAAAGCCACTTCAGTATTCTTCTTTTTCTCATCTAAATATATTTGGATAAGGAGCAAAGGAAGACATGGGCAAGAAATACAAAAGAATTGGTATTTTGTCAGAGCAGGCAGAATAAACAGCTTAAACCAACATACTGTAAAAAGAACGAAAGACATTTATTGAAACCAGTGCTTGAGTGTTCACATAAAGTACAAGGAAATAGAGAATGTTGTCAGCAAGCTATGCCTTCAGTTTAGTGAGGAAAGTTAAACTGTAAATATATGATGTAAACATAAATGAATGCTGCTTTTGTTTTCCAGTCTAAGACTTCAAGTCCAGAACCCATCTTTATAGTGGCAATAGACAGAGCAGACTTGTGTTGAAGGCTGAGCATCATGTTTTTTAGCAAAAAACCAACACAAATCTGCCATTTGAGTGGTAGGAAGCTGACTTTTTTGTTGATATTCCTTTTCTCTGCTAGCACAATCCTAAAGCTTTTAGGAGGTAGCATGAGTAAAATATTTCTCATGTATACACTTTGAGGAAAGGCTGCCCTGCCTTGGTTCTCCCACAAGAATAGGTTATCTTTTCCCCACAGTAAAGATGACTGAGGTCTGAGGTATTCAGCAAGTTTATGGGTATGATTCCAGTCAGGAGTTACTACACAGTTTTTAAGTTTAGCAATAGCCTGTTACACAGAGAATCTGAAGTATATCTTGCATAGATGTAGAATTTAGAAAATATCTTTTATATATAAATTATATCAATTGCTTGGAACTACTCGACCATTGCAAATGTAGAAATTCCTGAAGCAGATTGCCCCACAGCACATTTTTGTCTCAAATACATACACCTTTGTTGGTAACATTTTAGGGGTTTTTCTCCCTCGTCTTTCCCGCTCCTCTAACTTGTTACTTCCTTTCTCAAACAATACCCGTTTGTCCAGTTTATCAGTAGCCTTGCCTGGGAATCTCCTGTATTGGCTAAAAGCTGACTTTGATCAGGAAGGAAAAGAAACAAAACAAGGAGGACTTAGAGAAAAGCTAAAAGATTTGGGAGTCCATAGGAAATGCGCTAATCTATTACTCAGCTTCCAGGAAACACAGTATTAGGGAAGATAAGGAAGCAAAGCAGCCAAAGATATTCTTCCACTTTTCCCGGCAGCCATCCTAAAGCCCAGGCAGAGGGTTGCCGAGAAATACAAGTGATGTTGCTGCTCACTGCACTGTTCAATGTGAATTTACCAGTGAAGAAACAGTATTGCTTCTTGCTGCTTTCAGAAGTCCTCTGCTCTTAAAGGAATTAACATCTGGAGCCTGGTAATGGTAATTTGGTGCCCAGCTGAAGAACATAGCATTAGTAGCTGACAGAAGCTATAGCACTGTCTTTGTTAGTTTTTTGGATGTGTGGTTGAAATTGTGCGGTACACATTAGCACATGCTCTACCAACACTTCACTTCACTACAACAGAGAAGCATATGGCAGCTCTTCACAGGGCAAAAAAAGAGAACTTAATAAAAGTGCATCATATATTTTTCTTGTCTTTTTGCTGTTAGTTTAAAGTATACTGATGTACTTCTTAATTTCCATTTTGACCATTGGATAGAGAGAAATATATAGATGTCTCAAAACTAAAGCTTGCAAATGGAATTAAAATAAGCAGCTTGCAAATGGAATTAAAATAAGCACTGAAATAAAAATAATTGGAAATGACTGTATCATATTTCCCTTCTGTTTCTTTTTTTCAAGAATTGTTGTATTTCTCATCAGTAATCCTGATGTTGAAATGAGGGATATGATTCACTTGTGCCCTTCTCCCTGCTAGCAGTGAACAATGAATTCAGGTCATACCACAGAAATAGCAGTGAACAATGAATTCAGGTCATACCACAGAAATCTCCAGTAACATATTAAAACATCAGGTTTGATCGTATTGTTTGGTGTTCAAATTTCTTACCAGAAGTTCTGTTCAGATACCGCATATGCCATTTTCATATCCTCAAGTGTTTGTCTAAATATTCTGTTTACTATGGGATATTTTGGGAGCAAATTGTTTTTTAAGAAAAAGTATGCACCATATCTAAAGATTCACAAAATTGCTCTGAAACCACTGGCAAAAAGATAGATAAATATTGGAAAGTCAAAAAACATGTACCAATCCCAAGAAATCAACAGAAATATTTTCCTTTTATACCATTATACCTGTGAATCCTTGCAAATAGTATTAGCTCAGACATTCTTCTTGCCTTAGAGACTGCTTAATCTTGAAGTAGAAGGAATTAATTCTTTCACTGTGTGTTATAGACCCTTAGGCTGCATTTTTCCTTGCTTGTCTGTTTGCTGGAATTAGACCATACCTTGGTAGCCAGTTACTTTTCTTAATGCTCGTTCTCTGTTTCAATGATTTTCTGCAAATGTTTCCCAGCCAGGTTAATCATTACATCAGTTTTGGCCAGAAACAGTTTTTCATTTGATTACCACCAGAAGTCAAAGCATAGTAGTCTTCTTTAATCATGGTTTGGGAAAGTTAACAATGCGTTGTCAAATCTACGAAGCATTACAGCTACAGGGCCCTTAAAAAGGCAGATTCTCAGAAGTGGTGAGTGACCCCTATTAGCATCACCACCTGCAAGCTCTAGATTTATGTGCTGAGAGATTCTGCCTCTGCAGGCTGCTGTGGGAATCTTCTCTTTCACCTTTTATCCAGCACTGCCTGTTTATGGTAAACTGCACCACTGCTTTGTGCTATTATGCCCAAGCCCTGCAGTTCAGATATTCCCATTAACCAGTCAGCAACAACTGATGGAGAAGGTAAGGGCTGGTTTATGCTAACATCAGAAAAGTGGATGTAGGCCTTTGTGGGGCAGAAGTAAGCTGCGCATCTCAGAGTGATAAAAATATGTGAGTTTAGGCCCAAATCTTTTCCAACACAATTGCATTGTTCTGTAATAAGGAACCTTGGAAGTGATCTAGCCTCACAGTTAAGAAATAGGAAACTTAATTTCCAGTCACAATGGATGTTGTTCTAGTAACTATACTGGATTTGTTCCTTATTGGAATCTCTATCCTGAAGTTGGCTTCCATTACTTAGAATTTGGGCAGGCATCATTTCAGCTGTGACTAAGGCCTGTAGATGTTACCAGAGATACTCTGTAAATCAGTGTTCAGTTCTATAATTTCAGAATGTGAACTTAAAACCATATATCGCTAATTTAATGTAGTGAATAGGTAAGAGATTTTAACTTGATGTCTAATAGAAATGTTAAAATAGTGCAAACAATGTATTAGAGATGTCAGGTGAAGGACCAAATGCTATTATCTTCTTTTTCCTGTTTTCTCTTTCTTCAGTCTACACTTGGATACATTGCTCTGCTTATAAGTACTTTCCATGTACTGATTTATGGATGGAAGAGAGCTTTTGAAGAAGAGTATTACAGATTTTATACACCACCAAATTTTGTTCTTGCCCTTGTTCTGCCTTGCATTGTAATTCTTGGCAAGATTGTGTTACTTTTGCCATGTGTAAGTAGGAAACTGAGGAGAATTCGAAGAGGATGGGAGAAAAGCCATGTTATAGAAGAAGTAAGCGGATCTGTTCCTCATCTCTCCCCAGAAAGGATAACTGTAATGTGATGTTATTTGTTAACACTGTTGTACATGTTTGGGCTTTGGGGTTCTTGTCATAAATTTGCATTTTTAGGAGTTTAGTTAAGTAGGAGTCTTTGTAAAGTCTCTTGCTTGACATATAGTACAAGTTGTTAACCAAACTATGAGAAGTTTATATCTAGAAGACTACTACTTCTGATAGCTAGAAGAATATTTTTGTTTTGGATTACAGAGAGAAGATGATTATGAAATAAAATTGTCTTTAATGTTCCTTTTCACAATAATATCACAATAGTATTTTATTAGAACCAGGCTTTACAGATATTTTTTTGACTTGGAGCATATGTGTCAGAGTGCTCTTTATTAATATGACATTTTCTGGGCAGTGTTTCTTCTATTAAAACCACATTTTTGCGCTAATGAGTTCAAAATATAAAGTAAATTATTTAGGAAATAAATAATAATCAGGGTTTATTTGTAATAATCACAGAATCACAGATGGTTTGAGTTGGAAGGGACCTTAAAGATCAGTAAGTTCCAATGCCCCTGTCATGGGCCTTGACACCTTTCACTAGACCAAATTGCTCAAAGCCCCATCCAGCCGAGCCTTGAACATTTCCAGGGATGGGGTATCCACAGCTTCTTTGGGAAACCTGTTCCACTGCCTCACTACCCTCACACAATCTTCTCCTAATATCTAATCTAAACCTATGTTTTTTCAGTTTGGAGCCATTCTCCTCATCCTGTCACTACACGCTCTTGTAAAAAGTCCCTCTCCATCTTTCATGAAGATTTTCTTCAGGTACTGGAAAGCTGCAATTAGGTCACCCCTAAGCCATCCCTTCCAGGCTGCACAAACCAAATTCTCTCTGCCTTTCCTCACAGGAGAGGTTCCCCAGCCCTCTGATCACCTCGGTGCCCTGCTCTGGGCTCGCTCCAACCCATCCATGTCCTGCCTGAGCTGGGCACCCCAGAGCTGGGTGCTGTGTTCCAGGTGGGATCTCTCTCACCAGAGCAGAGCAGAGGGGCAGAATCCCCTCCCCTGCCCTGCTGCCCACGCTGCTTTTGGTGCAGCCCAGGACACCTTTGGCTTTCTGGGCTGTGAGTGCCCATGGCCAGGTCATGTCCAGCCTCTCATCCACCAGCACCCCCAGCTCCTTCTGGGCAGGGCTGCTCCACATCCCTGCATCCCCCAGCCTGAGTGGATACTGGGGTCACCCCAGCCCAGGGGCAGCACTTGTACTCAGTCAAGTGTATTGCACATGTACTGTATATTTATTTGTGTGTGGTTTTACACCATTCCATGATTTGAATATGCAAACCAAATTTCAGTTATGATGTGATTGTACATCTTGTAAGCAAAGGGTATTGCACTAATACCCTCTTCTTTTTTTTCAAAGCATTATGTAAGATTTTTAGACATTTGGCATCTCTTTCTTTTCATACATCATATAATTAAGATTCAAAACAGTGATACACATTTATAGAAAGATGTGTGCAAACTAGTTTTTGATTTTTCAATGATTTTGAAATATGAGGAAATATTTTAAAACAAAAAGAAAGCTGAGAATTCAGCAACAATAAAAGTCCATTTTCACAGTGAAGCTTCCAATATATTGGAAGCATCACAATACTCATGTTATTTGTGTCTACACTGGAGTTTTAGTTATTATATATGAGTTTCCCAGAATGTGTCTTAAATTCTTAGTATCTTTTTGTGCAAATACAATCTTCTATTTTTATATAAAGGTCTAACTTTTACAACAAGTGACTCTGGGATATGTCTGAAGTTTTGAAAAACCAAATTATTATTCTTATACTTAAAAATCTCTACACCTTGCCGTTCGCATTTCCTGTTGAATTCTAAATAATGTTCACAATTACTTATTACTACTGCTATGTCAGTAGTAATTACTCTTCTCTAACAAAACAACTAAACTTGACTCATACCTTCAGGCTGCTGCTGCTTAATTAGCAAAACTTCTATTTCAGTGAATCAGATTGTGGATTTGGTCCTGATTTTCTTGTATTAAATTATATTTTTCTTATCTCTATTTGCCGTGTTTAAAATCTCTGATTTTCTTAGCTGAACCTTCTCTTATTTTTTATTACTTTGTAAGAATTTGTCCTATCATGCATTAGAAATCTACATAATTAACCTTGAATTTATCCTTAAATATCACTGGTCCTGTAAATCTCATTATCTCTTCTTGTAATGAAATGAACAGCTTCACAGAAAAAGAAGATTCTAGAATCAAACTCTGCCCCCAGTTATGCCAACCTAAGCCTAAAGAATTTGTTACTTGTTCTTAATTTAATTTCAAATTCAAAATATTAACAACAATTTTATTTTTATTCTAGTATCCAAATTCCCCAAACTTACACATCAAGCTTGTGTATATTCTGGGTTTGTTACAAAATGAGAGACAGTTGAACTTCCTTTAATTTTAAGCATGTTCAAATCTAGAGATGAGAAATAAAATACTTGCATGATGTTTTTTCGGAATTAGAGCATTCTTATGTCTTTAGACATGTTTTGTATTGAATGAGAGGCCAATGGATTCTTCTTGAAAATGGAGGTTTGTGAATACATTTTTTGAAAAAAACTATGTTATGTGTGTCAGCAGATATTTGATACTTTTTCTAGTTCACAAATACACAATTTCAAGTAGTTGGAGAGCTCAAATTTATCCTACTTTTAAAGCCTTGGTGATGGAGTCAATTGGAAGGAAAATAATTCTTTTTATTTCACCATTTCTAGAAAAATTAATTGTAATAAAAGCTACAATTGGTCAGGCTAAGGCCTTTGAGATTTGTCTCCAGTAGCTGACAAGTGGCATATGCTTCTCAAAAGAAAGCAGGTGTCCAGTTTTAACATAACTTCTCATCCACTTGGAAATCAGTAATTTTGGATTTATTTGAGACAGGTGCTGCCTCTGGATTACTGTATTTAATACCTATGTTCTCCAAAAAATTATCAAACATTTTAGAAATTTCAAACTTTCCTATTTTTTAACAGAGAAATAAAGAAGAAAAAAAGGTTCAAAAAATCTATTGAATAAATAAAAAAAAGTTTGCATTCTTTCTTTTTCCAAAGCCAAATAAGTTTGTTTCAGGGTATTTATTCTATTGTTCCTCTTCCAATATGCAGCTATTTCAATGATACTGGTGGTGATACACAAGTACAATAATTTTTTATCAAACATTCTAGACATTAAGTGAAAAACTGTTGTTGCTGGAGACAGGCAGGAGCCTAAACTACTACCAATGAGATTTTCACATAAAAATGAAAAACAAGTAACAATTACAGCTTGTAACTTAACTTCGTAATTGCATTCCAAAAAGTATATGTGTCTTAAAAAGCTTACAGAATTGAATGTCCTGGACTGTTTCCTATTTCATTATTGCAGCATCGTTGAAGCATTGTGCTTCATTCTTTTAAATAAAATTTACTGTAAAAATCTTAGAACACATCAAATCTTGGAGAATTTTAATGGGATAAATATCACTTAACTTTCTACCCCAGTCCTGCACATGAAACCTAATTAAAATTACTAGAATGGGCTGGTATAACTGAGGGTAGAATATCAAACATCTGAACAGATTTAGGCAGAAAGTATTACTGTTGAAAATCTGACTACATTTGAAAATTAAATATGCTGCTATTATTTTACAGTAATTTTACATTTCTGTAGAATATGTAATTAATATTTATGTTCCCTAGAGTTATTAATTTTGATGCAATAGTGATAATGCAGAACTATGATACTGTACTGACTGGAAATTACTGTCAAAGTCCACAGATACTGTACAGTCATGCATCCACTGACAGTACATACATAAATGCATTGGTCTTCTTTCCTATGCAAAAAGTTTCTTTGTTATTAAATTTCTTCAACAACGATTAAACTTAAATTTTAAACTGCCAAAGATGTCTGGAGAGAATAATGATGAGTCATTCCTATTTTCAAACTGTGTGTAGAAAATTAAAAATGTGTTTTAATTTTATATGTTACTTGAAAGGTTGAAATATTGAAGTATTAATAAATAGACAATATTTTTAGATCAACTATATGAAGGCATTTTATGAAATATTTGTGCTACAAAAATGACATACGGTTTCCTGTTAGGCCACGTATTTACTTCTAACTGGACTAGCATGTTGACTTGTGATCTAATATTTTATAGTGTTCTTTAAGGACCAATCCACTCTAACAAGACACTGTTAAGCCTGAAGGTAAACAATGCTCATACATTTAGCAAACTTCATATCCAGCATATATTTAGTCCCAGAAGGGATCTTTTATTCATGTGACCAAACACATTGATTTCTATAGAACTCATCATAGGACTTCTCATTGGAAAAATACCTGAGGTTAATTGTTTAGTTTAGATTGCATAAATATAAACAACTACATTCTTTTAGACATCTTAGTTACTTAGGAGAATAAATATGTATTTTGAGAATAGCCTGCTATAAAACTATTTTTGTGTAGGTTTATATAAATTGCTTAACTGCCTAATGAAAATAAGTAATGAAATAATCCTAATTTCTCTTAATTATTGTATAGCTAAAAAAATAGTGCTTAATATGTGATACAGAGTTGTACACACATTATAAAATGGAGACCTCTATGTATTTAGCAACAGATTATTTGTTTTCCATGGATATTAAGATATTCTTAACATTGTCTAAAACAGAGTTCTATTACAGGTTCCATGTGTCTTAAATTTTATCTTACAATTCTATTAACTGTGGCAACTGTTAATTAAATGCACATGTTCTCAAATTATTTAAAGTTTTTGACTTATTTAGTGGTTAATTATTTCATAATCATTTTGCAAGTTCTTTAGCTTGTAATAGTTACTGTGAACTGGTGCCACTTTTAATTTTTTTTTTCCAACATTGTGAATTATGTGATGTGCCAATATAAGAAAGTACATTCATATTTTTATTTGGCATTAATTTCCTATAAAATAGTGTTTCTATGTTTGTGTCTGTATGGCGTTAGCTGCTCAACTAGCATTAAAGGAAATAGCTAATTAATATAAGGCAGTGAGTTTCCAGGTGGCAACAAATTTCACAGGTATTAATATAGTTAGGAAACAGCTTTCCTCTGAAAGATAGATATATCAGGTGCATAAAAATTAGATTGATTTTTTTCAGTGTAATATTTTCACATATGCAGTGGTAATGAATGCATATGCATAGATCCTTGCAGAGAGTGCATCTCCTAATATACAAGATTTTGAATTCTTGGCTGTTCATCCTGTAGTATTTTCTATCAATATAATGAATAATGTTGCAGTACTGATATTGTATCACCATATGATACTGCTTGAATTAATTAGATTACAGCCTTTAAAACAAGTGATACATTTAACTGACTTGAACGATGATCTCTGTCATTATATATTGTTTCTCATGCCTTGTTGGCAGTGTCTTACAGTGAGCATAATATGTCTCCCATATGTAATACTCTCTTTGTAGCTGTGTTTGTCAGACTGTTTGTGCTGTCTCTCGGAACAGGGCTATTATATATTGTTAGTAATGCTCTTATCTATTTTTCCATAGACTGTGTTTTACACAAAAATCAATAAAAACTTAGTGTAAGGTATTTTGCTTTTTCTTCTGTGCTTATGCAGAATAAATTTTGCCTTGTGTTTATTTCTAATACATGGATGCTCTGATCAACATTTTCTCTGAGAGGTAAAACTTGAATGTGAATTCATGAAAATATTCTAAGGGCAGTTTATTTCTTTTTCAATGTCTGGTTAACAGGCTTTTCACACAGACACACTGGATAGCTATATCCCTTATCCTACTGTAAGATATTCTCCATGCTTTCAGAATACGAGGGAACACTACAATACTATCAGCATATATTCAATCCACTTTTTATTCAACAAAAAGTTTGGCCATGATGAGATGGCTAGGCACCAGTATGTTTTCCAAGTGTCCTGTTGTGTGTATGAAATAGAATTACTCTTCAAATGAAACAAACAGGTGAAGCACTTTGCAGTCCTTTGTTTGGAAATACATAACTCTTTTGCTAAGAGGCTTATGCCAGCATAAGAGGAAAAGAGTACATGAGAGATATAATGCTGCTTAGCTGTCAATGAGCAGCACAAACTGAGTTTCTAAGTTCAGAGAAGTAAAGATGCATGGGTCAGTGGAGCTGGCAGCATTGGCATTGCTTTCACATTAGGTTACATAGCCTTCCCAGACTCCCAAATGGAATATAGGTATTTTTAAAATTCAGAAATTTAATATTGGTTTGTGCCATGCCTAACATAACAGTAACATTTTGGACCTTGAAGGCTTTCTTTTCTTGGCTTTTACTTTTTAATCTCCCCGTTTCTCTATATATCAGTGCTTGTTCTACTGAGTGTTGACATTATGCCAGCAGCTGGGGCCCCAAACTTAAACGTTTCTCCAGCCTTACTTTGTACTGTACAAGAGAATAAGTTCTGTGTCCTGTGATTTACCATGTTTCCTTACAATAATAAAGATCAGTGTGAAAATTCCCCTCAATTCCATACTACCCCATAACCTCGACGCTGTATTTTAATAGTACAGGCAGGTAAATCCAGATGTTGGAAGCTCTGTTGACTTGACGGGTTTAAGGTTGAGTCTACTGCCAGCCACTTCAAAGGTCTTTTCCTTTTATTCTGTGAATATAAAGCACAGAAAGTCTGTCAGGATAGACACAAAGGAGAATGAAAAGGAAGTGAAGGGGTCAACAGACTTAAAAATACTCTGATTTCTGTACTTTAATGACCTCAGTGTCATATTTGATAAAGAGTGCGGGTGGCTTTGGACAGAGTCTACAGTTTCAATACAGCCAAGGAAAGGACATCACTTGGCCGGAGCTGAAGATCCTCACTGCAGTACATGAAAGGTATATACTGAAATAATAGTCCTTTTAAAGCTCAAAACCTAATTTGTAAAACAGTGATTAATGAGTGCTAGAGGAAATAATTCACTCAGGAAAGTCAACAGACCTAATTATGTAACCTTGATCTTGTAACATGCAGCTGTGTCCTACACACAGAGTCTTGTGGTTTTATGAAATTTCAGTTTTACCTCAAGAACAGAGTTTGCTGAACTGTGTCTTCACACCAAAACCTTGTCCTCAATCAAAACAGAAATCCTCTTTACATCAAGGCTACTTTTTAAACATATTTCTTAGCATTTGTAAGATTTAAAATTCAATACTCTCATAAGTAAGGCCTTGGTGTCTTGAATATTTTCATTACCAACAGAAGAGGTGGATATGATAAAAATACACTATAAGCCTGTTTGGGGTTTATTAACTTCTGAGTAAGTATTTTCACAGTTGATTGCATGGTTTTGAGGATGGGCATTTGCCAAGGGCAGCAGAATCCCTTGTAGTCAAACTTGCATAATGTAGTTTTCATCTTAAATTCTAAAAGCTTCATTTTGAAGAAGGTGCACAGTGAGCAAATGGAGCTTTGCAATATGATCTCTGGAACAGTGAGCCAACAAGTGCCGTGTGATTTAAGCTTATAATTTACAGATTAAGTTGCCCAATTTAGGTATATTCTCTATACATTTGTCATTCAAAACACAGCAGCCAAACTTGAAATCACTTAGGCTACAATAGAAATAAATGTAAGCACTTTTGTTGTTATTTTTTTTTATATAAGCTTTAAAACTTTGAATACATACAACTTCAGTTCCTATCTGGGCACCAAGGAATAGATATAGATATAGATATAGATATAGATATAGATATAGATATAGATATAGATATAGATATAGATAGATATATATAATCCAGCTTTTTCAGCTACCTGCCTGCAGACATACAAGCATTGTCAGCACAATCTCAAATGCTTAACAGAGAATCTTGTTCCACCCAGTGTAAGCCCAGATACAAAACAGAATGTTCACAGAAACAAATATTTAAGTAGAACATGGGAGGGCCAGTAAAGTGGTTAGAGTAATGGAGAGATGTGTGTACATGGAGGGATGAAGTGTCAAGCACCAGCTGCAAGGCTGGCAGCTGCATTGTCACACCATGTGAGGGCACTGCGTAATGTGCTACAGGTCCTGCCTTTGGATGTTCTACGGATCTTGTGTTCTACGATAGCAGCTCAGGAGGTTATGGATGTCAAAAGACATTTTCTAAATTCAGAGCCCTATACTGTGCCAGGCTGTATTTTTGCCATCATTTTGGAGTTGCATACAGGATGAATTTCTACTAAATGCAGAGTGTGCACTGGTATTTTTGGGCATACACATATACTTGTTATTGGGTATTTTCCCTTTGATGGAAAGAGAATTCTGTAGCATATGTACAGAATGTGTACATATGAGTACTAAATGTGAGATGCACCTTATTTCTGCAGAAGGCAGGTATGAAATGGGAAAGTTGTTGCATGCAAGCTGGGAAAATGAAAATAAGGACTGTGTTGGTTATAGTTGGAGCCATAAAGGTGTCTTTCTTGATTGTTACCAATCACTTCATATAAAAGCCATCTGAAGATTTAAACAGCTTATCCTAGCATTTAAAATTTTTTTTCACATACTCAAATATTTGTTTGCAATCACTGTAGCTAATTATTTGTCAATGAAAACTGAGGTTGGCATCAAGAGTGCCTGCACTCAGAGAAGTGGGATATGTGCATATCCAAGGTGACGTGTGTGCAACTTTCCCGAGGCGCATCCAGATCCCCAGAATGGCAGCTAAAGCGAGCAGTGCAGAAGAGTACCTGTGAGCACACCAAGCGCTGCCTTGTCCTTGCATCTCAGCTCTCAGCTAAGTCTCAAACAGCTGCTCACTGTTTGCAAGTACAAGATATCTACATCCCCTCACCCTTCTGTCCCTGATTTATTACTCTTTTGCAGAGAAAGGGTTCCCTTTGCTTTTTTCCCCGCTGCCAGGCAGCGCTTTCCCGTCTGGGTTTGTTATGCTGGCGTCTCACGGAGGGTTTTTTTCGTGATTCCTTGTTACGGATCGACCGGCCTCTTCCAGCTGCCCAGCCCGTGGGAGCCGCCGAGCCTCTGTCCCGGACGGGGTAGGAAAATGGTGTTCTCGCCGAGGTGGCGTTCACAGACAGCAGCCCACGAAGTGACTTTCCTGGCAGGGGGATGCGGGCGCCAGTGGCGGGGGTCGCGGCAGTGCTGTAAGCAGCGGAAGGCGGCAGGAGGCCCGGC